AGGCGTGGCGAGCCGCGGGGCTCAGTCGCCCCCGCCGGGGCCTCGGGCTCGTTCCCGGGGGCTTTGTGTGCGCCGCGCGGCGGCGGGCGGGGAGCGCCCCCTGCTCTGCCCGACCTAGGCGTCCGGGAAGCGCTGCCGAGGAAGAGCTGCGAGATTGTGCGTGGACAGCTCTTCCTCTTCGCGAGCATCTCCGTTCCCCAGCCCCGGCCCCTCGCTCGGCTCCGACACGGTCCGCCCGGGTCGTGTCCTGGTGCTTTCAGACCAGAGCCCCGAATCCCCACGCACGCCCCGCGGCGTCTGTAGCGCCGGCGCTCACACGTGAGGCCCCCGGGCGCCTGTCCAGCCCCTCCGTGGCGGCATCGGTTTAGAAACCTTGTGCGCCACTTCGCTTTTTCTCTGAAATGAGGAGGACCGTGCTGTAATAGTCACCCTGCCTCTCTTTCCCTCCTGGGTTCCTGCATTTCTCCAGGGATCCTGCCACTCTTCCTGGACTCTGTGTGCCGAGGCGGGGCGGGATGCGTCTGGAGACCCTGGTGGGTGGAAACCTTTACCAGGGCACCCGGATAGAGTACTTAGCGCCCTGTAGTTAAAGGAAACTATGTAGGAGGAAGGCAGGGGTTGACATGGAAAGTTTTGCAAAGGAGAGATAGGAAGTCGGGAAGAGTCATTATCTCCTCCTTCTCTATGGGGTCACATGACTCATGCAGTTCTGTTTGGGTTATTTTCCACGTACATTGAAATTATGTCCAAGTTCTGAAGATGAAGTTTATATTTTGATTTCCTCAACCAGAAAAAAAGTAGTACCAGAAGCTGCAGATCCTTCTTACAACACAAGAGCCGCAGGGAGGGACAAATGTGGGTGTCTTTCTATATCTTTTAGACTCAGGGCAGGCATTTCTTCTGGGATTCTTCTGAGTTGGTGCCCTGTGTTGTTCACCAGTGGTATAACCAGTGCATCTCTAATGATCGAATCACTCCGAACAGTAAAAAGCAGAATGGTGTTTGTAATATTTCTGTAGTGCGTGCAACTTAGCAAATACCATAAATGAAGACGAAAACAATGGAAGTGAATCAGCAGTATGCCAACTGTTGGTCTGCTTGACTCTGTGTGTAAAGATCATTTATTGCCAAGTATACTTTTAATGATGAGAATCCAAAAGGCCCTCAAGGAAGAATGAGTTTGCTTCTTGCCGGAGGAAGTTGGGTAGGTGCTGGCGATTCAGCCAGGCCAACTACGTCTCACTAAGCCGACTGTTGATTAACTCAGGCCAGTAGTGATCTGTGAAGCCCTTCTTTGCAAAAGCTGGGCTACTATTTTTTCCCTCCATATCAGATTGTTGGAACTTTACCTTAAGAACGAGAAGAGGGAGTGGGGCTGTCTTTTGTTTGTACTGCAAATCCATCAAGAAATGGTTCTTTTGACTAAAAGTTCAGCATTTGGAGCACCACTGTTTGCTGTGCAGTACGCCTGCCAAGATGTTTTAGACCCAGCCCATTCTTCCAGGAAGCTGACACAATAATAGAGACAAGAGATTGATGTGTAATTATATATGTAGAAGCAAACTCAGGATATTGTACGAGTGTGACAGACCTAACCTAACCCCACTTTCTGATGGAGAGGTGTGACTGGTCTCAAAGAGGAGGTATTTTCTCGGTAAGAAGACAAGGAAGTTGAACAACAGCAGTGCAGGAAATCCGTGGTACTTCTGCTGAGCGAAGTTCTGGTAGGGTGCTGGGGGTACTCAGGTTGCTACAACCATTCCCCACCTGCGCTTCCCTTGAACCTAAGGTTAGAGGTCTCCAGAACCTGCAGGCCTGAGGCAGAGCTTATCAGCGAATGAAGTAAACTAGATTCACGCAGATTGCAGATTGTGTGCCCCTCCTGAAGTAGGCTCTGGTTGAATACTTGATGGCAAAGTCAGCACAGAATTGCCAGTCTCCTTTTTAAGTGAATCTGGAAAGCATATTTTATGATGTGAATTAACTTAGAGCTTTTTTTTAGATGCCCAGATGTATCCCATTTGTAGGTTGGGTTAGCTACGCCTAGTAGCTAATTGGAGGTATGAATGAGAGAGAACCATTGAAGGGTTTTTCACAGAAATGCTGATTGCTGTGGCTGCTCTTTAAGGATAAATTATAGGCTAGAGGCAGAAGCACCAGTTACACTGATGCAGAAGTCTAAGCAGGAATATTGAGGGCCTGAGTTAGGTTGCTGTTGGCAGAAATGGAGAAAAAACCAAATTTGGAAAGGGCTTGTGAGATAAAGAAATAATGTGTTGGGGGCTGAGCAGTGGAGGTACAGGAGCTATTACTTGGTTGACTGCATGGCTTCACCTTCAAAGTAGACAGTGTAGGAAGAGTTGGCAAAGAGCAGAGAGGATTGTCTGCTCCTGAGCAGAGTGGTATGGTGTCCCTGTGGGACATCCTAGTGGGCAGGTCTTAGGCAGGTAGGTACATGGAGCTGGGGCTCACAGGAGTGGTCTTGGCTGGGGTTTTATTGCTATTGTTATCCTGTCCACTTGTTCCTGTAGTCCTCACATGACTTTTATTCTTGGGGAAGACTGTTCGATTTTAACTGTGGTGAGAGATACGAAGCAGAATGAGAGGTGGAGACCATAGGAAGTGAGATGTGGGTCTCCGGGAATCAAACCCAAAGCATGAGGAATTTTTTAGCTGGGCTTTGAAGAATAAGAAGGAGCTGCATAGGTGTAGAAAATGCATGAGACATAATTTTTAAGTAGGCAAGAAATACTTTTAAGTAAGTTCATATTGACTCCTGAGGTCCTGAGGGTAGGAAGGAGTGTCATGCATTTTGGGAATGAAATTATATTGCTAGAGAGGTGAGCAGGCCTTGGTTGTGCAGGTCCTCTAGGCGTTTTGGTATGTGGTGATTACGGTGGTAAGCCAGAACATTTGGCAAGGGAGAGTTGTTTACCAAAAGTACATTCATTTTGATAGCAAGAGAGCAACATGTAAACATACAGTTGTTCGTATCACATCTGACAGTGGTAGCTACACTGACACTACTTCCTTCCCTCCTGTGTGCCACTGGCCCCAGCTGAGACCACTGGAGACTGCTGGGAACCTCTCGGGCAGGGCCACTTTTTGTCCTCACTCATGTCTGCTGCTGTAGACATGCTGGACAGTACTGTAAGCAGATGAGTGATGTGATCAGCGTTACATTTTAAAAGGTGCTCACTGCGCTCAGACAGGGGAGTGCAAGAATAAGAGCTCTGTATTTTGTAGAGTAAAACTACTCTTAAACAAAAATTTTTAACAAGATTTTTCAATATTTTTTATTTTAGAAATCAGGACCTTTGATATTTAGGAAAACTATGTTTAACTCTACTGAGATCAAGTTTTCTGGTAAGTATAATGAAATAATATACTAATATAACTATATAAAAAACAAATATATTAATTTAATGTAAACTAATGAAACATAGTAAGCTAATCAGTTGTTTGGTTTTTCAGTGGTTCTTACATATTCAAGTTTTGTTTCAGCCCAGACTTGATTATTTTCAAAAATAGATTTTTCTAATCCTGTTTCAAAAAATGTAATATGACTCATTGTTTAACAATTATAAAGTCTAATAAATAGGCTTAAGCAAAAAGTATTTTTCTGTGAAACTTGAGTTTGAGTCCCAGATTTTAAAATTAGCTGAAATTCCTTTCATTAATATAGGAAAGGTCATGATTGTGATAAACCCTTCGTGCTCCAAGTATCTTCTAAATATATATTATATCATAGTATGAAATAATTGCTGAGCATTTTAACTAATTTTTAATTAGTTCTAGGGCTTAAGAAAGGGAAAGTATTGTTGGGAGGTATGGTCTTTTCTGTGTAGGTGCCAGTGTTTTGTGATAGTTTTCATGGGTTACCATTGGATTATATTCACTGTAGTTTAATTCCTTTTTTGTTTCCAGTATCTTGAGTAGAAAAGTTGGTTACCAGAGTGAAAGTCTCAGGATAAGAAGTAGTTTTCACTGGGTAAATCTCCCCTAGGACTTAATGCCATGTCCCTCTTCTCTCTCACACTGTGCCCTGAGCAGCTGTGGGAGGTGATTCCACTGTTTGTGGGCCTTCCCTGAGGGGAGCTAGGCGACCCAAGAGCTAGGAAGCAGAGGTGGTTTAGAGAAGGCACATGATACCATAAATCATTATGGTAATGCGTGGTAAGAAGAAATTAAAGGCCTAGGTGGGGGAGGAAAAAGTTTGGCTTTAATAAATTCATGTCTCAAAGGCTAGATAAGTAGGCTTTAAACCAGACTAGGGCTGACAAAAGGGCTTTTGGGGAAAAAAAGTAATGTGGGCCACTGAAACACAGAATTTGATCTTTTTAAATGGTTACATAATGCCTGAGACCAGTCTCGGGGTAGATCACAGTGCAGATATTAACATATTGGCGTGTCTAAGAAAAGAAAAGGGCAGCACAAGGGATTGCAGAGCAGAAGTACCACAAAAACAGCTGGAGTTCAGTCAGAAGGGTAAGAGAGAGGTCTTCGTCAGCCGTGACTTCGGCTGTGTCACAAATCGGCCGGTGTGCAGGAAGCACCCGCTGAGCCTCCTTGTGCTGATGCCGTGCTCTCTAAGGGACCTTCTCATCACCACTGGGCTTCCAGGGAGGCTGCTGATGGAACAAGTCGTCTGGTCATCACATACCCACTTACTGTTGCCATGTACTGTAAGTGAGTAAATGGGCGTTCTCGTGTATATATGTCTGCATCAAAGTGCAGTGAGAGCGTAAGACAGCGTATCCCTGTTCTTGGAGACCTGGATCTTAGTGCCTGAAACATTAAGGACTTGGTCCCTTAGATATGTGTTCATGCTGTTTTGGAGGATCAGATGTCTGACTTTCTCTTAGGTGATCCCTCTTTTGCTACCCTGTTCAAGATACAATATGTGGAGCCAGTGTTGAAAATCTCTTCAGTGTAGTTCACTGTATTAACAGAATAAACTAGATACACCATCTGTTTTATCTCAGTATAGCCGGAAAAAAAGCATTTGAAAAAGCTCAACACCCGTTCATAATTAAAACTCAGAAAACTAGAAAAAGAAGAGAACTTTCTCAATCTGATAAAGGGCATCTATAAAAAATCTATAGCTAACATCACACTGTCAGTTCTCTTCAGATTGATTTATAAATTCGTTTTAATCCCCCCAAAGTCTAAGCAGATCTTTATGCAGAAATTAACTAGATGTTTCTAGAATTTTATATAAGAATATAAATATATAGAATAACCAAAGCAATTTTTGTTTTGTTTTGTTTTTTGTTTTTTTTTGGTTTTTCTCCGGTACCGGGAACCGAACTCACGACCTTGCGCTTGCCAGGCAGGCGCTTTGCCGCTGAGCTAAATACCCAGCCCCAACCAAAGCAATTTTGAAGAATGAGGTTGAAGGGCTTTTGCTGTCTGTTTTCAGCACTTGCATACAACTCTAGTGTCGTGACCGTGAGGCCTAGCACAGGGACAGACATATAGAATGACGAAGCATAGTGCAGAGCCCAGAAACAAACGTGCACTCGCAAGGTTAACTGACTTTCGGCAAAGGTCCCAGGGTAATTCATAGAAGAAGGGAGAGTCTTACTAACAATTGATACTGGGACAACTGGATGTCCGTACAGAAAAAAATAAATCTCATGGATTTAGACACTCTGTCCCCATCTTTCTCTTCCCTCCCTCCTCCACCCCTCATCCCCCAATTACATGTGTGTTAGACCACTTAATGTTGTCCCATAGTTGAATGAGATCCTGTTATTTGTTTATTTCAGTCCTTTCATCCATTCATTTTGGGTATTTCTTTTGCTTTGTCTTTAGTTTGACTGATCTTTTTATCTGCATTACCTAATCTGCTGTTAATCTTGTGCTGTGGCTTTTTTGTGTGGGTGTCTTTTTGAGACAGGGTCTTGCTGTCCAGTTCAGGCTGGCCTTGAGCTTAGGCTGGTCTCAAACTCACAATGATCCTCCTGCCTCAGCCTCCTGAGTGCTGGGATTACAGGCATGTGCCACCATGCCTGGCTGTGGCCTGTTTATTTTAGACTTTTGTTGTGTTTGTTAATCTCCATAAGCTGGGTTGTTGGTTAGTTGTTTGGTTTTTGGGTTTGCATTGTTTTGTTTTTTGACACAGGCTCTAACTATGTAGTTTGAGGTGGACTTGAACTCACTATATAGCCCAGGCTGGCCTTGAACTCATGGCAGTCCTTCTACCTCAGCCTCCTGAGTGCTGGAATTATAGCATGTGCCACCATGCCCTGCTTCAGTTCTTTTTTTTTTTTTTTTGCATCTTATTTTTTTCCTTGGTATTTTTATATTCTCCTTTACACCCTTGAGCATATAGGGCATGTCCATTTTCACATTCTTGTCTTCTAATTTTATCGTCTTTGACAAATTTTTGTATTATATATGCAGTATTTTCGTTTAGATGATGAACATTGTGAATTTTACTTTCAGGTGCTAGGTGATGTTGTAGTCCTTTGAAAGCTTTGTTTGAGGTGATAATTTCTTGTGGGTCGGTATGCTCCTTACCAGTTTAGTTTTAAAAGCTCTTTTAGGGTAGACCTGGAATAACCTTTACTGTAGGACTAATTTAGTACCATGTCTAAGGTACGATCGCTCTACTTTCCTGAATGTTGGGTGTATCTAATGACATTCTGGCAGTGAAAGCCTTAAATAGTCCCCAGCTCTAGGAATCACTGGGCTTCTCCCTTTGCAAAAGCAGGCTGCTCTTCAGCCAGAGATTCAGGGAAATTACTACTCAGATTTCTTTTTGCTTCCTTGTGTAGCCTCTATCTCTTGGGTACTCAGCCTAGAAACTATACCAGCCTTCAGTTCTTGAACCTGTATCTCTGGGCTGAGTTTGGCTTCCTATATATAGTTCCCAGCCTTTAAGGTGACCCATGTTGTGTAGTCTCCTGCCACATTATATCAGAATTGGTCTTAGTTACCGGTGGAGTATTGCAGAAGTAGTGTGTAACCCTTCTGGGCTACATTACAAAAGATCCTCTGGCTCCTACTTTGCTCCTTCCCTGAACTCTTGCTTGAGGGAAGCCAACTGCCATATTGTAGGGACACGCCAACAAGTTTTCATAACTGGAGACTTAACCCCTTTTATTTTTTTAAATTTTATTTTTTAACTTTGAGACTTTTTCAAATTTCCAGATTGGGTTTTTTTTTTTTTTTGCCTTCTTGACACAGTTTCACTATGTAGTTCAGGCTGGCCTTGAACTCACTTTGGAGTCCAGGCTGGCCTTGAACTCATGGCACTCCTCCTGCCTCAGTGCTGGGATTACAGGCGTGCGCCACCGTGCCCGGCAACCCCTTTTATTCTGACCAGTCCTGTCACCCAGCACTTGAACCTTTGGTTAGTCGCTCATTATATTCAAAATAAAGGTTGTGTTGTGAAAGAATATTCATGGATTTTCCCCAGCTTCCAGTCCTCCTTTTCTCTGCTACCCATGTTCTGACCATAGTGAGCCGTCTTCCTGCCACGCTCACTCACCCTGTGCATCTGCATATGCTCCCTTCCCTCCTCTTCACCTGGCTGTCTCCGCCTTTTTCTCCTCTGCTAGCTGGCCTGCCACAGCGGTTCTTCATGCCCCGCTAGAATATCAGACTTGCCCCACCCAGGTCTCCCTTGGCACTCTGTTTTCGGCCCTTTGGTCTATTTTTTTTTTTTTGGTTTTTTTCTCCGGTACCAGGAACTGAACTCACGACCTTGCGCTTGCCAGGCAGGCGCTTTTGCCACTGAACTAAATCCTCAGCCCCCCTTTGGTCTATTGAAAGCACCGATTTCATTGTTAACCCTCCCCTCCCCAATACCTTTTAGGTCATGGGCAGCAACTCTTGCTTACCTCATGACCTTTTCTGGCACACTCATTCAATAAAATAAGTGAGTAAAAATATTTTAGACTGATACAAGCTGTGACTTAGTCTGTCAGCCTACTCAGTTGAGTTTAACATTGGACTTACAGATGAATAGTGTTATTGCAGCCTTTGGTTAGCCATAATAATTAATGAACTTGTCTTGTCTTATAGTGACTTTTTAGAGAAATTAAGTAATGTTTTACTTATCTTGACATTAGAGAGTCCTATTTTAAGTTGTATCTTGAAACCTTAAGTTTATACTGGACTATAGACATTGTTAATGTAAAATGAGACTTCCTTTTTCCTAAACAGTGAAGTCATTCAGTTGTTCCGGACCTGTGAAGTTTACCATAGAGTGGTATCTGAAGTATCATGTCTGTCACAATGAACATTCTGAGCTGGAAGTAAGTAAAACACAAATGTTTATGAAGTTACGGAAAATTACCAGTATACAGATTTATTAGCTCATGGGGCTATAAATAGAGATTGTGACTTTAGAAAGGCCCCAGATGAATTTTGGGACTCAAGGCAGTAAGTCAAAGCGTATGCTTTCTGAGAAGACTATAAACCTTTTTGTTTCCTTGTGTTTTACAAAAATTGTTAGTGCTTAAGTCAGATTTCTAGTGGCCATTGATAAAAGGAACTGTGGTTCACATATAAGTGAAAAGCAGCTTAACTTGAGAAACAAATTTACATTTCACTTTATTCAAAACAGTAGTTATAGAGAACCTGTAACTTTACTGAGTACAAGGAGATTTAGTGAGTTCAGGATGCTCTCAGAGAGGAAGAGAGGGGAGGGAGGAGGGCAGGGGAGGGAGAGGGAGAGGATTGTGCTGGGGTCCTGTGTCACTCAGCAAGGTGCTTCTTGAGTGATTCTCACAGAGCTTGACTGGAATCGTTTCCTGTTCAGCTTCACTGTTACCTGTTTGGCTTCTATCCTAATTTATGGGCTTCTGTATTTTTATTAGTACTATTTTTCTAATGGAGTAAAAGATGTCAGTTTCCTTGAATACTGCTTATTTGATTTTATCTGAAAGTATTTTAGCCCTTCACTCTAAATATTTCAGTGCATATTTCCTAAACATAGGTATTCATTTAAATTATATAGTATTACATTTAGAAAATGTAAAACATTGATATACTACTGTTATCTAATGTATAGGCCTTATTAAAATTCCATCAGTGTTCCAATAATATATTTTATAGCAGTTTTTCTCCTCTGGTATAGCACTTAATGTAGGATCACATTACATTATTCTTCCTTATTTATTTTGAGGCAGAGTCTTGGTAAGCTGCTAGATAGTCTGGGCTTGAACTTGCGACCCTCCTGCTTCAGTCTCCTGGTGTGCTGGGATTACAGGCATGTGCCACCATGCCTGGTGACAGTGATACTTATTTTTGAAGTGTATAAATCATTTATTTTTATAAAATGTCCCTCAGTTTGAGTGTTTCTGATATTTCATTGAGATCAGATTCAGGTTGTACACTTTGGGTTGAATTCCACAGAATACTGGTTTATCCTGTTTTTGATTATCTTAATTTGATCAGTTGAGTAAGGAGGTATCTACCAGGTTTTTCCATGACAAACATACTCCTTTTTTCTTTGTTATTGATAAGAGTTTCTGGAAAAATATTTTTGAAGCTGTGTAAATATTTCTTCGTCGGACATTCATCCGTTCGTTTTATCATGTTTTTGTGATTCTTGCCTGGGAATCAGTGGTTATTGTAATGTTTGCTAAATGATGATTTTCTAATCCCATATTTTCTTCTACATTTATTAGCATTCTACTGCATGGATGAGCTTTTCCCTTTTCTCTAGCCCGGTAATGACAACCGTTTAGAACTGTCAATGATAACACACAGTTGGCTGCCGCACGTGTGCCAGTACTGCCACCACTGCAGTATAAGTCATCAGTACAGACACACTGAAAGTTTTAGTTTTTCTTTGTTAAATGTGGTAGTCCATTACTATTCTGACTGTTTCCTTGAGGTAACCGTTTGGTCAGTGAAAGACAACACACCTTGATGAGCAGGGGCTCGGCTTATCACCCTGGAGCCCCAGGTTGTTGGCGGCCCGAGCTCAGCTGGGGTAGCTGCACTTGCCTTCTGTTACTGTTACTATTCAGTAATTAAGTGCTGTTTTCCTTCCCTGTCACATTCTTTACACGAAGGATAAAGCAGAAGTAGCTCCAAAACAAATCCTGTCTTATTTCTCTGAGCCCTTTCTTTGTGGGGTACCTTAATAACTTCTATTATATATTATTATATCTGAACACATTGGAATGGCTAAGAGGTTATGAATGTTACATTGTTAGGTTTGTATTCGGACCTTTTTTCTCTTTGGTATTTTATTTTACCTCATTTTTTCAAGTACTCCAAACTGGATAAAATCTTGGTATGATTTAGATATTAAGTTTTATTTATCTTCTAGGAAGAAAAGTGTGGAAGTAAATTATAACGTAGAATTTTACCTTGGGTAGGAGCTGTCCCAGAAACATGAACTTCGTGTTGACCAAGACTTTTGTAGTTATTTGAAGAACACTGACTGTTGGACAACGAGAAATGAAAACTTGGATTGCAACAGTGATTTACAGGTGTTTCCTTCGTTGAATGTGAGTATCTGTCCTGCCGTGTTAAAGTAGTTTATTTTATTCCCAGTGAATATAAATATCAATTTAAATAATGTTGTGTCAGTATTTTAATAAAGGTACTAAGTTTGTTAATTCTCAGTTTAGGAGTTTTGTGTGTGTGCAGTAGTCATAATAAAGTGTTAATGCCCTCCTATTTCTTTGTGCCTTTTGTCTTTTTTTTACTTTTTATTTTTTTTTATTTTTGAGACAGGGTCTCACTGTGTAGCCCAGACTGGTCTTCAGCTTGCAGCGATCCTCTTGCCTCAGCCTCCCAAGTGCTCTGATTATAGGCGTGCACCACCACGCGCAGCTCTTTGTGCCTCTTTGTAGCAACATCCTGCGTCCTTTTATGATCCCTGTCTCTATCGCTTGTTCTCCCATTGCACTCAGACCTTTGCCCCCATCATCCCATCAAAACAGCCCCCATCCGGGCACAGTGACTCCAAGCCGTTAATTGCAGTGATCTGTGGCTCCTGTCAAAGGTCTTGACTGTCAGCAGCACTCGGCCCACGTGGCCACACCCTCCTTCTCGGTGCCTGTTCTGCCCAAGCCCAGCGTGTTAGGTTATAAATGCCATCCTCCCTGGGTAGGGAGGCGCAGGGTTATTTTAATTATTTTCATTCCTGTGGAAATGCTGAACTGGAAGTACGTCAGTAAAAATTTAAAGAAGTTTTTAAAAGATTTGTGTACGAGTGTACAGTATTAAATATATAGAAAAGTGCATACAAGTACGTACCTGGATGAGTTTAAGAAAAACTGAGCATTCCTGGGTAGATCCAGGTAAGTACAGAATAGTTTAGCAGCTAGAACTTCCTTTTATTTCCGAACACTTGTCCCACCGACAGGAACCACTACCCAGTGGTAAACACACCATTAAGGCAATGATTTGTAAAAAGCAGAATTTTGTTACTCATGTTCAGAGTACAATAGGATTTGTTCTCTAATGTTCAGCTTTCAAATCTTTACTTTCTTATAACACATTTTTTATTACTAAAACTATTTTCCATGTAGAAATGCAGCAATATAACATAGAATTATTTTACTTTTTTTCAGAATAAAGAACTAACAAGTAACCGAAATACTTCAAACCAGGAAGGATCAATGGTAAGTCATTTTACTTGACTTTAAGTAAAATATGTACAAATTATAGTAAGACTAAAAAAGTCTTACCAATGAATATACACAGAATGGTAAGGGTTGCTAAAATTAGAAAAGAAAAACTA